CCTGCAGCATGACGGCAGCAGCCGCCTGTCAGATCTGCGGCTTTCTCCCCCTCAGGTCTTATTCCCCTGACCTCAAACCAAACACTTTTAATGCGCTGAGGAAGATGGTTTTGGTGCCTTGCCTCGCGGCGCTGCCGTTAGCAGCAGGAAGCAGAAAGGCACGGCGGGGGGGGGCCGCGCCGAGTTCGCCGAACGCCGCGAGCAAAGCCTTGGCGCAAAGTCCAGAATAACTCGTGGCACAAGACAAGTCGCGTTAGCCACCACGGCGTCGCTAGCGGAGGTCACAATTACTGGGGAAATGCCGCAGCGAGAGAAAGGGGACGTGAGATCTTCTGGAGGTCCCTCCCCGCTCCTGATCCCACCACCTGCACGTAAGAGCTTCCTGCACCCGCTGCAGAGGCGGCACGGGTCCAAATGATAGCTTTCTTCCGAAAGGAAAGTCACCCAAGCAGAATCGCAGCTCCTCCAGCGCCACGTCCCCACATCTGCCGCCTTGCCCTGCCGTCTGGCTACAACCCTCTAAGAGGTCTCAGCAACCGCCAGCGCTGACGCTTTGGGAGCGAGCAGAGGGAGAGACGGCCCGCGCGCGCGGGACCTCGGCGCGCAGCCCCGAGGACGCTAGCCGAGGCTCGTCACCGTGCTCCACGCCGTGAAACTGCTGCCTTAAGAGCCCCAGCCGGAGGCTGCGGATGGCCCAGAGAGGTTTCCTAAGACGGAGCGTAAGGGATCGCATCTAGCTATTTGGGGCTTTTATGAGTTTTTGCACTTTTTCCCTTTGTGTTCAAATCTGACAGCTCTTAACCTCGCCAACGGCCGCAGCCGCAGAAGGTGGCTCTCCTGCTGCGAAGGAGCAGAGTCTCCGCCAGCCGCTGAAACGGCCCAGGAGAAACCAAAGCGCCTGGCCGCTCGTCCCTCCTCGTGCCGCCGCGCGAGCGACTTCAACCACCTGCTGCAAGCGGAAAACGAAAACGCTAGGCAGAAAAGGCAAATTGCATTGTGCCTGGAGAACGGCGACTCTGAAGCAAAAGTATTTAAATAGACAAGAATCTTCTGTCCAGGAAACTGAGCGCTAAGAATAACACTGGAGCTTCCTGCCGGGACGGCTCCTTCCCCAGCTGCTTTCCACGGTGCGCGGCCCCTCTCCCGCCCCGCTGGCGTGAGCGGCCCTGCCTCGGACCCTCTCCTCTCCCAGCCACCCGACATCCCTGCGTTTTCCAGACTATCTTCAGTCTCTGGTCTCCAGCTCGTCCTTCTCCCATCTCCACCTAACAGCCAAGTTTTCCTCCCTCCAGGGCACCCCGGGTGAACAAGCACGAGAACGAGCAAGCATCCTTTCTCCCGGCTCCGGCGGCCACGGCCGCAAGGCCCCGAGCAGCCGTCCCGGGAAAGCCTCGTCCCACCCTGGACACGTCACTGGGAGAACATCGGATGTACAGGCCCAAGGTCTCCACTGGGAGCTTTTCAGGGAACATCTACAGCTTGCCAAAGCACGGAGTGCGCTTTAACACTGCTGAAAAAGACATAGCCCCACATCCCTTCCCCGCGTCCACATCCGAAATCCTGGCCAAAGCATGGAGGGGTGACAGCTGTTCGGGCAGCTGCAAATTATTTATTTATTCATTCATTTGATACGGGCAAACTTCCCAAATCAACCCTAAGAAAACTCACCCCAGGACACCAACCCACGACGGGGGTGCCGAGGGCGGCTGCCGGGGGAGCAGAGCGCCGGGCGCTGCAGTCACGCGCCCCAGGAGGAGAGGACCGGAAATTTCATGGGAGCAAAGACAATGGCCTAATTTTTTCCTGCCCGTCTCGGAACAATGCCTTCGGAGAGCCAGAAGCCACGGGCTGCGAGAACTAAATTGGTGGTCTGCAGTCCGCCCCGCTGCAGAAACGGACGCTGTCAGCACCGCCGGCTCGGAGCCGCGGCG